TATGATTTTTAAAACAGGATTAAAAACATCACGTTAATATAACAAGTTTAAACTACAAAGCATTAAAAGCATACTGTGTTTTGTTTTTTTAAATGAGCCAGTATGGCACAGTAGTTTGAGCGTTGGACTACGGCTCCAGCGAGTAGGGTTCGAATCCTGGCTTGGCTGAGGAAACCCGCTGAGTGACCTTGGGCGTCACACTCTCTCAGCCTCAAAAGCTGAGGCCATGGCAAAGCTCCTCTGAACAAATCTTGCCAAGAAAACCCCACAACAGGGCCGCCTTAGGGCCGCCAGAAGTTGGAAATGACTTGAACACAACAACACTGAAAATATAAAACCATTAAAAACCTAAAAAAACAAACACCCCAATAAAAAGCCTTCTGGGGTGCAACTGCATATTAAATTTCTTCATTAAAGCTGCGGCGCCAATTGAATCGTCGATCATCCGACTCTGCAGAGCAGAGGCAAGAGGCCAGGACCATCCTTTCCCATTTCCCTCTGCTGGATACACAGCCTGCCTTTAGCAACTTGTGTGTTTTTAAGGCTGGCAGCTTAATCATTCCTTGAATAATAATAATATAAAAGAGCTGGTTTGGAAAGGAATTGGCCCTCACCTCCGCAGCATGTATTTATTGGGTGTCAGCTCTCTTAGGAGGCGCGATACAAAAACAAGCCTTGCCTAGAATTTGCCCTGGAAAGGACATTAGGATTTGATTGAGGTTATGTCCTACCCTGCATCCGCACTGCAGAAATCATCCACTTTGAGGCTGCTTTAACTGCCCTGGATCAGTGCTAGGGAATCCTGGGAACTGTAGTTTATTGTGGCACCAGAGCTCTCTGACCGAGAAGGCTAAATGTCTCACAAAACTACAGTTCCCAAAATTCCCTAGTATTAAGCCAGGGCAGTTTAAGCAGTCTCAACCTTGATTATTTTTGCAGTATTTTGGACCAGTACCAGGCAGTCCCAACCGTATTTCTGTAACTATGTATTTTTTTGACGCAAGGATGTCTTGGAAGACTTTAGGAAATGTGTTGAGTAGCTGTTGGTTAAAAAGAGGGTTTGAGAAACCTGTTTAGAAATTATGGTATATTTAAGCTAGTTATGCTGGAATGAGTACTGTCCTCACCAAACGTGATCTTTTTTGAGGTGTTATACCCATTAATCTGCTCTTCTCTCATCGCTGTTGCAAAATGCCGCAAGAGGAAAACAGACTTCTAAAAGCGGATAGCTGGCCATCACGACACACATACGTAACCAAAAGCAGACTTGAACCCATTCAAGTTCCCAATTTGTTTGATTCAATCAATGAGGAAAGGAGAGCAATCGGTAATGGTTTCCATATTTGTTTTGATTTTGAAAGGCTAGACAACCACAAATCATTACAGGGACCGCCACACAATAAAAAGTGCAGGCAACATCTAATAATCCAACTCCAGTGTGCTTTGGCAGTCTAGCCATCAAAAATGTACATCTAATAGAGGCTCAAGATATAATGCTGGAGTTTGTTTAGGAGAAAAGACATAAAGGCAAAGGACAGCACATCCAGAGGGCAATGAGGACCAGGATGCTGGGACATCTGAAAACCAAATCCTATGAGAAAGAGTTAAAAAGGGTATTGTTTAGCTTGGAGACAATCAACAGCAGGGATGGACCGCTTGTGGCCCTCTGGATGTTGTCAGACTGCAACTCCCATCAACCCAAGCCAGCATAGCCAATATTGAAGGATAATGGGAGCAGCTGGAGAGCCACACATTGCCCATCCTGCTTCAAATGAGCCATTATTGTTTTCTTCATACGTAGCAAATGAAACAAACTGGTACTCTCAGTATGTAGACAGATCTTGTAGCCCCTTTGAGACTCACTGAAAGGAAGAAGTTGGCATCGGGAGCTTTCTTAGACTAAAGTCTACTTCCCAAATGCATTTGGAGGAAGTTGACTGAAGTCTAGGAAAGCTCCTGCTGCCCACTTCTTTCTTTGAGTCTCAAAGGGGCTACGAGATCTTTCTGCATAGTGATTCCACAGACTAACATGGCTAAATCTTTGAAAACTGGTACTCTGTTGCTCTAGGAAGTAGGACTAGAACCGATGGGTGGAAACCGCTGGGAACCAGATTTCAAATTTAAGAGGAACTTCCTTGTAGGAACACTATTTGACAGTGGGGCACACTACCTTGGGAGGTGGTGGGCTGTTCTTTGGTGGATGTTTTTAAGCAAAGCTTGGAGAGCTGTTAAAAAAATGCTGTAGCTACATTCCGTATTGATCACATAATGAGATTCCAGGACTTCTGAAGTCCTTTCTTAATGTTAAAAATAATAATAAAAGATCCCCTAGTTTAAATAATCAGGGTGTGTGTGGAAGTGCCAACTTTGCATGTAAAAAAAAGTCATGGATTGCTCTAAAGCGAATGCCATCTTCTCATGTCCCCCAATTCGCAGCCTGCAGTAAGTAGATCATGTACATACAGAGGCTGTTCGCTCATGTCATTTGCTGTAAGGACAAAGGTTACACACTGTTTTCTCATAGTCTATTCCATTTATTACAAAACTACAGGAAAGTTAGTGTCGTCATACATATAAAATGTTCTGAGTACAGACCGTTGTTTTCTCGACCAAGGGAAGCAAAACAAAACCCAGCTCCAACAGAAAGTGCTCCCAAATTAACACCTGAAAATTCAAGACAGAATACTCAGGAGGCCTCTGAGATTATTTGGCATGTAAGACCATTTTCATGATTTTAAGGCATCATGGGCACAAGGATGTCTGATCCTCTCCCATCACCAATCTGCTGGAGATTTAGTGTTCAGTACCATTTATTTTTTTCAAAAAGGAAAAGCACCAGAGAGAAGTCTACCCCAGAGAGCTAAAGCATAGCCTAGATATGACTGCTATAAGCAACAAACTATGCAATGTTTCTGCCACACTTAAACAAATGGTAGCATGAATATGGCGCAAATAATACACATTTACGGCAAACAGGTCACCACGTCTTCTAGTAGGAAAGATACAAAAGTATCGAGAATTATCCTAGATGGGGACAAACATGGTCCACCAACCTACTTTCATAGCCTAGCACATATCGGATGGCATATTAGCTTTGGGATTAAAAAAATGAGAGATGGGAAAATAGGCTCCACATTAGAAACATGAGCACATTACCACAAGGATGAAGGAGGATACAAGCAACATGATTAAGGAGAGGTATATATTGAAGGGGAAAGGAGGCTGTTTTCCAACATGATCTTCAAGACTTTCAGCTGCATCGCGTAGCATCCAGCCCTGCATCCATGCACAACTCGTTCGTATTCACTAGTGTCATCGTTCTGATTCGTATAAAGCACTGGTCCATTTTTAAAAGCATTGGGTAACCCCTGCAAGAAAGAGGGAGAAATGAAAGAGTTTAGAAGGCAGGCAGATGGACTTATCACTCCTTCCCTCCCCTCTCCAAAAAAACCCCAGTCCCAGAGCCCTCACTACCGTACACTGAAAGAAATATAAAACTTTGAATTCATGGACCAGAAATATGTGCTCACATAATGAATCAAAATGGTTTATACACACCAAGTTTTGCTTGCGTTGCCTGGACTCACTGTGTCAATGGTTCCACTGTTTGGGGAAGTTCCTTTTTTGGACTACAACTCCCAGGATTCCCCAATCAGCATGGCCACTAGGAAGTGCAGCTCCCCAAAAAGAGAGTTTTCCCAAGCTCAGAATGTTTCTGGACTTACAGGAAGAAACAGGAGGCTGCCTTAGAACAAGTCAGACTACAACCTGAATCCGATTTGTTAGTTCTGACTAAAAAAGAACAATTATAATCAATTATGGAAATGGTGAGTCAACACATCAATAAATCCCATTAATTCAGTGGGTCTACTCTAGTTGAAACTAAGTAGGGTGTAGGCATATTTGTTCCTCTAGCCTAGTAACCCTGTATGTAAGATTGTCAGTCTTTATTTATATTGTTTACTTACTACCCCTTTGCCATATTGAAGATGGCCAATGTGGGGCTGAAAGCAAACTGTCAGGGGAAGTCATGGCAGGGGTGAGATGCAAACCGGGAACTCTTAGGGGTTAGTCAGACAGTGAATATAATCTGGGTTGAAACTTTGTTGTTCACGTGCATTTTGAATGCATCTGATTAAGGTGGGTTTTTTTGTGGGGGGTTGCCAAAAAAAACCCCACTTAACCCAGGATAATCTATGTTGAGTTTTCCCCCCGAATTTTTCTAAAAGATTTAGATTCT